CTTCTCTCCCCCTTGGCGAATCCTCCATTTCCTTTTCCTCTTATTCGCTCCCCTTTTTCTTGCCCTCTTCCTATATTTTCCATTCTCTTTCTCTGTCCGTTCTTCTGCCTTTTCAACACTTCCTTCCACCTTCCCCTATTACTGAATCTTTCCGTTTAATATCTCTCTATCTGTTCTTCCTCTTTCTCTCACTCCCTTTTCCTTCTTTTGCTAACTCTCTTATTTCCTTTCCATCTCTTTCGCTCCATTCTCCTCTCGCCCTTCTCGTGCTCTCGTTTACCCCTCCTCTCCCCTTTACCCTTCAACTTTTTTCCCTTCGCCTGGATCTTCCACTTTCTGTCCCTAATCCTCATCCACTTCCTCTCCACCTGTGCTTCCCTACTTCCTTTTACTCCCCTCCCCTTCCCCCCCTTTCCCTCACCGTCTCCCATTTTCCTTGCTCGTGCACTCCGCCCTTTCCTACCTGGACTTTCCCTCACTTCCTCCCCTCACTGACTCTACCCTTTCCTTGCTCGCTCGCCACACCCTCCTTACCTATCCTCCCACGTTCTTTGCTCTCCCTTATCGCATCCCCTTATCCCTCGTGAATCATCCATTCCTTCCCCCTCTCCTTCGCCCACTTCTCTCCTCCCTGTCAGCTCCTTTCCCTTCCTTCCCTTCACTGAATCTTCAACTTTCCTTCCCTCTTGTTTTCCGCTCCCTACCCGCCCTTTCCCCTGACGCTTGCTCTCCCTTGCCGTTCCCCTTCCTCTCCTTGCAGAGTCCCCTTTTTCCCTCCTCTCCTTCCCTCACTTGTTCCCTATCTGCCCCCCTTATTCCCCTCTCCGAATCTTCCATTTTCTCCCTCTCCTTCTTACTCCCTCTCTACCTGTCTTTCTCCCTTCCTTTGCTCTCCTTTACCCCTCCGCTTTCTCCCCTTGCAGGACCCTCCATCCCCTCCCTCTCCCCCCCCACTCCCTCCTTACCTGCCCTTCCCCCTCCCCTTTTTCCCTCTCCGAATCTTCCATTTCCCTAGCTCGTCTACTTCGCCCTCTCGCCGCCTCGCAGGTAATGGACAATCTGAGACATGTGTTACTCAGATTAATGATTCATCTGGGTAATGAATCACGGCCGGTAATGAGTCATTCTCACCAGAGACCCATTTCCACTCGGAGAAAGATCGCGAATTAACCGCCGGAATTAGGCCTAATACGGCCGGAAGTGATTATAAAACAGATGAAGGTTTGCGGCCGAATTAGAGCAAAGTACTGCCCCCTCTTTTCTTGCTCGCTTTGTTGGCTCCCGAACGCGGTTTCGTCGGTAATTAATTCCCGACACTTTCTTTCCTCCCTTTAATTACCTTTCTCTCCCCTAATAACATTTAACAGCCTCCCTTCCCGAGCTATTGTTGTGTAAATATTGTCTAACTGCATTCGCACCGTTAAGGCGTATGATGTTTACTCCCTTTTACAATTTTTAATCTAGCGTTTTATCTTTATTGTTTTCCTCTTCTTTGTTTCTTCTCTCTCTCTCTCTATCTATCTATTTATCTATCTCTGTCTCCTCTCTATTTCTTTCTCTGTCTCCATCTAGATCTGTCTTCTCTCACTCTCTATTTAGCTTTGTCTTTCTCTCTCTTTCTCTCTGACTCTGTCTGTCTATCAAGCTCTGTCTTCTCTCTGTCTTTATCTAGCTCTGTCTTCTCTCTATCTGTCTGTCTATCTATCAGTCTGTATATCAATCTCTCTATCCATTTCTTTATATTTCTATCTGTCTGTCTTTCTTTTCTTCGCTCACTCATTCTGTTTTGTGTATTTTTCCTTCTCCATACCTCTCTCTCCATTCTTTTCCACACCATATCCGCTTCTTTCCTCAATCCTTTTTCACCACCACCCCCCCCCCTGCTACTGTGTCTCCCCCCTCTTCTCCCCTCATTAACTCCCACACGCCCCCCTCCGCCACCTCCCTCTCCCTTCCCCCCCTCCGCCACCTCCCCTCTCCCCCTCCCACCCTCCCCTCTCCCCTCCCCCCTCCCCTCCCCCTCCACATTATTTAACACCTCCTCCCCAACCATATTAATCCCAGCGCCTCCGGACCTCGTTAGCACGCACCCTGGATATAGAGAACCCAATCTAGTGGAGCAAAATGCAAGTTAATGGTAAATACTAAATAGGAATTCGTGTTTTACCCTCCTCCCCTCTCCCCTTCATCCTCTTTTCACCGCCCATTCCCCCCTTTAACCCCTCTCCTTTTGGGGGCCTTGCTAGTTGCTCTTAAAGCTGCGGTTGTTAGTCCTAAGGGGAGATCCGGAAGTGCATCTAACTAGCGGAGTATCAGAACTACCTTGTTCGGGTGAAACTACACGATCGCGGCTGAGTTCCACACCACAGGGAGGTCACGTGATCTGGAAACCTTCTCTTGCCTTTATTTCTTGCAGTTTTTGAGAGGTCTGATTCGCTTTCTTTCAAAAAGGGTTTACGATGTACGGAAGATCAGCGTAGAAATGTCTCGTCCTACTGAA